TAGCGTAGAAATTTAATATTAGCAATAAAAAAATTATTTTAAGGAAGCAGCTTTGGAGGGTCTATTTTAGATCCTTGAAGTTATAAATTGTTATATTTGTCGTCACTTAGTATTATACAAGGTGTTCAAAAAACTGCTGAATACTTCTTCAACTTTAAACAGCAATAACTTGGTTATTTTAAATGGAACACCCAGTATATTTTTACTTTGGGAGTTAGGAAATTTAAAACTCTTTCAAACTGTGTATAGGTTCCCTATACCTATCTCTAACGGTATTGGAGATATTTGTGCTGTTTCGTTTTTTATCGAATTTCCTGGTAATGAACAAAATTTGTTAAGGTGGCTTGTGCCATGTTTGACATTTTAGTTACACTAATCATAAAACGTTTATCTCGAGTCTTGTGGAAATATTTTGTTCTATGTTAGGGTAGTATTAGTTATTGTTAACATGAAGGTTTATTCTACTACAGAAAGAGTAGATATGATGAGTGCTATTGGCGAATGCTACGAGAACTGTTTTCTAGCTTCCAGAGTATATGCACAGAAATATCCTGATCGAATACATCCAAACAAAAAGGTGTTTGAAAGATTGCTAGCGAGATTTAGAGCAACAGGTGGTACTGCCTACAACAAGCAGAGGAAACCAAAACGGGTAACCGACAACGAAGAAAATGAGTTCATGGTGTTAGGATTGGTAGTTGAAAATCCTAATACTAGCACCAGAAAAATTGCCAGGGAAGCTGATATAAGCCGAACCAGTGTGAGGAGGATTCTTAAAAAACATAAGTACCATCCCTTCCACATCCAGTTTCACCAAAATTTGTATGACACGGATTTTCAACGACGAATTGGTCACTAGCGACCGAGGCGTTACTGGTGGCCCACCCTGTAAATTGCTGCTACAAAATTTTTAATTAGTTCAATTTAAAAAAGAATGCAGTAAAAGAAATTAATATATATAATATTTTGATGTTGGTTTCATCGTTAAGAAAATTGTTACCAAGGAATGTTAAAGAATATAAATTTTGTAGTAACTCTCCTAATATAGAGACTTGGGAAGAGTTTTAATAAAATTTGTCAATACTTTGAATGTTCCTAGATATCAGAATTGTTATTCCACACGATACCCAGGTAATCTACCAATTATATTTCCAATACTACGACGATAAGCTTCTCAACATTAAAAAGTTTAGTGAAATTGGCCTGAGACGTCTCAGACGCGGACTCTGTGGTGTCAACAGTAAGTGATGTTGTGTCTGGATATGCGCCTGGTGCAGCGACTCCGTGGCGAGCGTGCCACTGAAAATAACACGGCCAGAGACCGGGATCGGTCGAAGAGCGTGTGTGTGACGAGCTTCAGGAGCAAGCCTCCGAGGGACGTGAGCGCTTTCAAGCTTTTCCACAGGAGGGCCAGCAGTGCCATGTAAGATTTACTGCTTTTGTTTGACTTTGTTTAAGCTTCGCGTTAACGCCTTGAGGACTTGTGTCGTCTGTGAATAAACTGATTAGAGACATGAGATATTGTTTTGTAAGTTAATGTGTATACATGATGCGTAATAGTTAATGTATCTGCTGGTATACAGGGTGTTTTCACTTTAAATTTGGAAAATGCAGGAATGTCCCTATCAAAAATTAAGTGTAGTTTGCTCTATAATTTTTTTTTATGAAAGCCTTTGTTTTGGAGATACAGGGCGTTGAAGCTTAAAAAAAAGTAAACACTTTTTGACATATCTCGGCTATCCACGAGTAGATTTGATTTAAACTTGGTACACATTATGCGTATTGGGGGTTCTCATAATTGACAGAATATTAGTCCTATCGCATTAGCCAGTGGCGTGCAAAGGGGAGATGCGTGGCCCCTTTTTCAAAAAAAAAGTACGCCATTGAGTTTTTCGAAGAATGTAAAGTAAATTTAAATACTACCATACAAAAGCAATCTAAAAGGTCTCTTGATATTTTTCGATAATTCATGAGATTCTTGGACTATTAAGATTTCAATGCATGAAAAAAAAAAAAAATTACGACATCGAGTAGAGGAAAGTAATGAAAATATTTACAAGTTCTTTGCTTGCTGCGAAACAAAAAAGTTGCTATAAATTTTAATGCAGTATTTGAATTCAAAGAAAAATATCTCTTTTTCTCATTCAGCACTACCGTGCCATGTTATCATGCATTGGAATCTTAATAGTCCAAGAATCTCATGAACGCGAAAAATACCAAGAGACCTTTTAGATTGCTTTTGTATGGTAGTATTTAAATTTACTTTACATTCTTCGAAAAACTAAATGTCGTATTTTTTTTTCATTCATTTTTTTTAAATTTCAACGCCCTGTATCTCCAAAACAAAGGCTTTCATAAAAAAATTTTATAAAGCAAACTACACTTAATTTTTGATATGGAATACATTCCTGCATTTTCCAAATTTAAAGTGAAAACACCCTGTATATAATGTACATTATAATGCTGCATTTTAGTACCACAAGGCTGTTTATTTAAGTATTATTATGAGTTAATTCTAGTACTACTATCGGGCTCAGTTATTGAGCTTTCAGTTTAATTGCGTTTATCTCAAAGACTGAGAAGCGATAAAATTTAAAAAAAATACATCTTATGTCATGTCAAAAATATACCTTTCTTTCACAATGTTCCTCTTACATTAAAATTTAAATTAATTAATTAAATTAATTAATATTTTTTTATATTTTTTATTTTAATATTTTTTGAACAAAAGGTTTGACAATTTTGCAGAAATGTGATCATTTTTTGTCATGTCATTATTGAAGATATGGAAAAAATCTTCGCAACATAAACACAAATAAAAATCCATTTTTATAGTATCATGGTTTTCGAATTGTTATACGATAATTTGTTATTAACATTTTAGTGCAAAAAATTCATTTTTTTTAGTTTCTTGCTTATAAAACCAAAACTGCTAGAGCAATCTCAATTCCGTAAATAGAAAAGTTGTAGGAAATTAAATTTCGAAGAAAATGAGAGGTCGAGCGATCCGATTGGTTGATTAGAACCGGAGAAAATCAGGAAAAACCGAAAAATTCGGTATTTAATTAAAAAATTCATAACTTTGTCATTTATGAAGATTATTATAATTATATCAACCTTAAGTGTGCAAAAGGTAGATGCTGTAGATTAGTTTTAGCGGAATTGCAATTTCAAATTTTTTATGCATTTTTTGCCGAGTCTGCTTGCGTGATCCGAATTGAATTGAATGATCCGCGCTCGACCGTTTACCCCGATGTTCAAGTGCATGTTTCATCTAGTTCGCTGCATTTTAACGAAAACTTGAAATATACGTTTTATAGTATTTTACTTCTAGTTTTGAAAACCGATATTAGAATTAAAATCGAACCCTTTTAACGCAAGTAGACGCCCGGCAGTTATGATTTTTTTTAAATTGACGAATTTTCCGGTTTTTCTAGATTATCTCCGGTTCTAATCAATCGACCTCTCATTTTCTTCAAAATTTAATTTCCTACAACTTTTCCATTTACGGTATAGAGATTGCTTTAGTAGTTTTAGTTTTATAAGCAGAAAACTAAAAAAACGCGTTTTTGCACTAAAATGTTAATAACAAATTAATTAATGAGAGCTGCAAGTTAAAAACACATCAGATTATATCTAAGGACTGACTGTCTTTTAAACGATGGCACAGGTAGTATGCTGTTAGAATTTTTTTCACAGAAAAAACCTATATTGACTGGCGTACCTAGGAATCTCTAACTTGCCCTTGTTATTCTCGGCCTATTCTCTGTGGGGGGAGAACTGCTACTGCTATCAGAACCCTAAGCCCGCTCTGATGTTGATATGGGTTCTTGTTGTTGATTCTGACGCGTAGACGGACGGAACCGCTCCTTAAACAATGATGATCTTCTGAAACGTTGTTTGGGTAACTGGTTGCATTTAATGTTTCCAAATGTTTCGCCGTCCTTCACTGTCGTGACCCTGTAATACCTTCGTCACCGTAGTTCTAATCAGTGACGTTGAGCGCGCATTTAGGCCTGCGCAGTATAGTGGTGGGAGTACAATGGCAGGTTCCCCTTGCGTTCCCGAAGTTGCCGGTATCGCTGCTGGCGCCTCTAGTAGAGCAGAGTAGAGGGCGTGGCATACATTCCCTGTACCGCGCGCAGTAGGATGGTGGGTGTGGTGTCATGTTCATCTCCGCTATCGCCAGTGCCGTTGCCTGTACTTTTGTAGTGATTATCACGCATTCTCCTCTCACGCCGTTACTTGTCCCTTAGAAAACAGAGGTAACCTGCTTCTCTGAAAGTCTTCATCAGGATTCGTATTATTTGGATATTGTTAAATTTTCATCTGACCAGGTTGTCCTGTCCTTCTCACAAGTACCTCGGTGTCTTCGAAATTTATTGTATGTGGATCTAAGGCATCCTGTGCGGCAGCTGATGCTTCAGGCTGGTTCAGCCTTGGGGCCTTTCATGTTCTTACCTTTTTGTAATATCGGTTTTCTTTGCCAAACGTATTATAATCATTCGGCATTTATATCCTAGGTGTGAACAGAGGCTCAAGCCGATATTTTATTGGCCTAAACTCTCGCTGAATTTTTCGAGTTACGAAAACATTAAAAAAATTATATAAAAAGTTCCCACATATAAAGAACACAAAATTTCAGAGTAATATACCTAGTGGCTTCTGAGAATTGACTATTTCAAATTTGATGTAAGCAGAAAATCGTGAAAAATTAGTACATTTTTTAGTCCACAGGTAGAAAAATCTACAGATGCAGTTTTTTCATTGATATTTGAAGTTTTTTCAGAATTGAAAGATAATAAATAAATTGTAAAAATTGGTTCAACACTATGAGAAGTGGGTTATTTTAGGACGTACATTTATATTAAAAATTTTTAATGGCCCGAGAAACCAGCACGAATAAGTATTGATTGTCTTTTTTCAATCAATTGCATTTCTCTTGAAGTAGGAAACCTAATCTCAATAGTAGCAAGTGACCTCTACAAGATAATTTAAAACTAATAATACTGACGTTTCTAACAACCTCAGAAAATTAATATTGAACCATATTTCAACACAATACATTGTTTTTGAAAGCAATATGGCTGGAATTTGATTAAAAAAAGTCGTTTTCGATGCTCTATGTTTCAAAAACAAATAGTCATATGGGTTATAACCTATCAATTCTTTTCGTACCTTTTTTTTAACTGCAAACTTTGTACGTGACATGCAAGTAGATATACCTACTTACCTCCCAAAATGTTGTAATCATTTATACACGTGTCCTTAAAAAAATCACCTTTAGACAAACTCGCTTGTAATAACCATCATATCATTTGGAAATTAAAAAGATACATGAAAAGTAGCTCGATTTACTTTATAGTTAATTTGCTGTACTAGACAAAAATAAAGATTATGATTAATTTTTTCTCTTACCTTTGCTAAAACTATTTTTACTTTTATTTTTTCGTTTGCAATTTAATTTCGCAACGTAAAGAGTAGATACACCTTTAGTCACAATTAAAATCCTAGCTCCTGTAGCTTCACTAATAAATGTTCATTAAGTTACATCTAGCATGCCGGGAACGGCACGCTTTACTGTAAACTCGAGGTACACGTAATTTTCAACTAGCTTGACACTAGGAATGTAATTTGGATCAACTGAATTATGGTCAGCTGCAAGCTGGCTTCGTTTGAAAAAAATCACTTTGCAGTTGATTGGAATGTACGTAACGGGAAATTATTTATAGGAAATTTGGTACACATTAAACACAAACTTGTTAAAAATAAATCCGGGGGGAATTTTCATTAACGTGTTCAAATAATTTTGACGAATTCAGTAGCGATTAAAACCAAATTAATGATTAAATTCAGATTTAGTGAATTTTTATTTGACGATTTTATTTAATATTTACAGAAATCCTGTCTCCGGAATTAACGAAGTTAATAATTAAAATAAATTTAAATCCACGATGCTTTAACAAAGAGTATTGACTCATTCCATCCGAAATGTAAAATAAACTTAATTTCTTTGTATTCAGTCAATGGGGAAACAAACACTGGTAATCCACAGCCCAAAGCTGTGCAAATACTATTAACTTTGAGATAGTTGCATTCCGATTCAACCATTTATTCAAATTTACTGCCGTAAAATTATTATATTTAATTTTCAACACTATGTTTCTGAATGTAATCAATATCTGGAGTTTTTATATGGAAATTATTGAAATATACAGGACGTTTCTTAATAGCGTGCTAATATTTAAGGAGGTTATTATTGGGTCCATTTTAAGAAAAAAACTTCATATGAACATATGTCCTAAAAGTCTTAATTTTTGAACTACAGGTTGCTAAAGTTTTATGAAAACAATTTTTTTATGATAACTTTGGTATTACCCTAGATATTTTTTCAAATTTTGTACACGCCTTCTATTCATCGAG